GGTTCTATCGCCCGTTCGACCGCTTCTGAGAATATGAAGAATGCGATGAATAAGAGGAACAACCCGTTCACGAAACCGGCGATCACTTCGGCCCTCACGTAACTGAACAACACATCAATCAATCATTACTATTATGACCACTCTTTTATGGTTCAGTTATCACTTGATTACCCGTAAGAAAAGCGCTCATTGGATCGCCATTTGGTGATGACGGAAGCGGCCAAACCCGCCAATAGGGCCGTACAGTCGAAGAACATGTGGAACGAGTCCGATATTAATCCCAGACTGCGATCAAGAGATTGTCACAAACGTGAGACACAAATTGGTGGTGAGAAAGGCGGTGATTGAGTACCTGTTAGTCCATATGCCATACGAGAGCTCCACGAAAGCGAACGAGAGATTCAGCAATAAAAACAGAAATAAATTTCTCGAGTTTTTGTCCGACAATATGAGCCTAGAAGTGGACACAAGAACTAAGTGTCAGAGTAGTGGTCACAATGAATGGTAGGCCATAGCCATGTGCCGCATACCTCAGCCATCCGCTAAGTTTCTCTTTCACTTTGAAAGCACGGGTCACCTTATATTCCTTATCATTTGAATATGTGGGTAACATTTGAGACAATTGTCAGTGTCTTCACTCTTGCGGTCACTTATGTGTCAACACTTTGGCCACAATTGCGCGACAAATGAATTGCAAACTAATTGTTCAAATAGTTTTCAAATCACGAAAACACATCAAATAAGGTACAGCTGGCAGTCATGCAGTCCCACAACACCACTCACTGCATCACTATCGCCCCCTTCTCACACTCACTGCCCCTTATGTCACGTTATTAGTGGACAAAGGCTTCACTCTCTCCAACTCGACACACATTTCCATACAATTTGTCCATAAGTTATGAGGAGTTGTGTTCAAAGAGTTGATGTCTTTATGGGACATAATTGATGGGAAGGAAGCCGTAAACATGAATTGATTGCAAATGTGATTGCATTGAGTGGTGTGAGAGAGAGTGGATGTGTGGATGTGTTCAGTGATTGCCAGTCAATGCAATAGTGATCACTTGAATGAGTCTTATCATTGTTTGGCAACACATTCACTGATTAGTAGTTTGTGTGGAAAACACTGTAATGATGACTGTTTTGGCAGTGATTGTCACCAAATATGACACAAGTATTGCTGAGACTGTTCAGCGCATCCCCAGCGATGGGAAGGCTCTCTAATCCCAAGACTTTATTTCCGCTCATTTGTGAAGATCACTCTTCTGTTCACTTGAATCCCATCCGTTGCTATCGATTCACACCACAGATGTCATCGACGGACCATCACTTCTCGGAACCCATTGAACCCTTCACTCCGAAGAGGGCCTTAGTTTTGACCAAATTTTCGAGATATGAGTTCGAGAAGAAGCGGAACCCAGACCTCAGTGAAGAACAACTCA